AGCTATCCATACACCCTCATTGGTCCCTCATATGAACAGAGGTGCACACTGGAGACATTGGGCTGAGGTCAAGAGGTCAGTGCCGGTCAGGAGACAAAGCGAAGTAATGAAGTGAGCCTATTTGTCTGATTGCAGCAATTTTTCCTGCTGTTTATTTCCCTTGATGTAAAATCACATGGAATACAAGCAGGGTAACAGAAGCAAGAGTCTCCTTTTACACAACTAACATATCTAAATGTCTGTTATCTCCAAGACAATGAGAAATTTATGGTGTAATGAAAGTGATTTGAAAATGCAAAAAGCTAAAGAAGGGTAGAAAATGACAAGGGCCAAGAAAGAGATGACATGAAGAGAGCCGTTGGCACTGGACTGTTTATTTAAGTGAGAGGCAGTCAACTGGCTGCTTCATGGGGTGGGTCAATTTTCCTCTTGCTACCAATTGCCCCTTCCCTCCAAGGACAGGGGCTGGGGGGAATTTAGAAGCCCTTGAAAGGAAGATTACACACAAAAGCCTGAGAAATGCCATGGAGTGACACTCAGTATCCAAGGTCTTTAGCTGTCCTCAGGAATGTAAGAGCCTTTGCGCTTTTCTATTTATTTGAAAATTCTACAATATCTCCCATATGCCAAGAAGGAAACGGAAAGGAATTGTGGATAGAGGAAAGAGGAGAAAAGTGATTATGTTCCCTACACATCTCGTTTTCCCTCCCTCAGGAGCTGGGCTGAGGGACAATGAGGGTAAAATCACAAAGGGTCATTTTATGGGCTGGATCATGGCCCCACCCCACTTCACATCTTCATGTCCTCACCCCTAGTGTGATGTTATTCTTAGAATCTTCAAGGAGGTGATTCAGGTTGAATGAGGCCATGTCAGTGGAGCCCTGATCTAACAGGACACACATTTCCATAAGAAGAGGAAGAGACAAGGGGAGGCCCTGCACAGAGAAAAGTGCCTGTAAGGACACAATGAGGAGATGAGGAGGAAGAAGCCAGGAAGAGCAGCATCCCCAGAAAACTACTGCTGACACCTTGGAGTTCCATCCCCCAGAAGTGGGAAATATAAGCTGCTCTATGAAGTAACCCACCAGCAGTACTTGGGCATGGCAGCCCAGGAAGGCTGGAGAGATCCAGGAGAGGTACAAATTCAAGATGTGTGTGTGGTGAGCTACACCCTCACCCATCTTTTCTGGTTGGGTCTGTGACCTCATGGACACCTTTATGTCACTCCATGTTGTAAACTTCTGTTAGATTATTTTGTGGATTGAGTTCAAGGTCCAGTTAGAAATTACATGCAATTAGAAGGTAGAGAGGGGTTTCCTTCTTCTTCTTCTTCTTCTTCTTTTTTTTTTTTCTGGTATGGGGGATCAAACTCAGGACTTTGTGCTTGCAATGCAGGTAGCAGAACCACTGAGCTAAATTCCTGGCCCCAAGAGGGGTCTTCTTCAAGGGAAGTGGGTGAAAGTTTCTGAGCAGTTTTGATCTTTAAAAAAGGCAGAAAAAACAGAGAAGGACTTTCTGAAGGAGCAATAACCCAGAACATGGAGAAGATGGGGCAAGACACAGTAGCATTTATTTGACCACCTACAATGTGACTGATATAGGGGGAAGAGATGTAACTCCCAAACCTACTAGATATCTGAAATGCGAGTTCGTGTTCTCTAAAACCAAAGAATGAATTCTAGGAACAATGGAGATTAAGAGTAGGAAAAATTATTGGGAGAAAGAAAGCTTGTGCCTAACAGAGACAGAAGGGGACCGGAAAGTGGGTTGCCCACTCACCCCACTTTTCAAAGATGTTCTATACAGCAAATCCATGTGGTGAGGCAGGCACAATGTGGGACAAAACTATAAGACCCAATGGAAATTTACAAGGTGGGCATGAGGTGGCACAAAGTCATGACCAACCAATAAGATTACAAGTACAGTCACCCAGGTAATATTGATTAAATGAGGATCAAATGGGAAGACAAATCACATACAAGGAATTTCCCATTTAGAATATCAATCACTGGTATCTATCTCTAGGGGAAGTAGTACTTCTTTTCCTTTTTATAATGCCAACCAGTGAATGTGCCTCAATTGTTCTCCATGTTGGTTTCTTGCTGTGTTGGCTCCTGGAGGGCTGGTGCCTTAAGGGCGGCCCTGTCTACCTGCCAACAAGAAATCTAATTAACTTACCTATCTATAATATGACCAGTGGTGGTAGAAGACCAAGGGATGCAATGAATAAAATAGACCTGGTCTTTGCCCTGGGAACATGTTGGAATCTTCTTCAGACCACAGAGAATGTGGAGGGAGTAATGCAAAGTAAACCTTCAAGCATGGGATAGAAATAGTGTCTTGAGTCTTGATCCCTGACAAGGAATTTGTTCTTTATTCTAGTCAATAAGCTAGAGAGTGCCCTGTTTATCATTGGCTTTTAGCAACAGAAATCTGGAAACCATCAGCTGGTTCAATTGTAATGGGAAAAAAATGGAGACTAGAAGATCTGTTAAGGGATAAATATTGAAATTTAGACATGATGTAGTGAGAACCTGAACCAAGGCAATATCAAAATTGCATGTCTTCACTGACACAACACCAAAATATCAAAATGGGTATATTATCTTAAACTCATAGCAATGCTACCATGTGCAAGCCTTGGAAATATTTTCAAAATACAGAGGAGGTTTATAATCTAGTAGCAGAGATAGCAAAGCATAGGTCATTTGGGAAGGCTTCATACTGTTGTAAGCCAGGTGTGTCAGTTACTTTTCTCTCATTGTTGAGACAAAATACCCAACACCCGAAGTTAAAGGGGAAAGGATTTATTTAGCTCACAGTTTGTAGAGGTTTCAGGCAGAGTGGCAGGTGGCAGAGGAGCAACAGTTCATGGCAGCAGAAGACAGCAAAACCAAACAAGCAAGGGAACCTTAACAGAGTCTTTCTGCCCCTTTTATCTTATCCAGGCTACCAGGATTAGGGTGGTAGTTGGTTAAATTCCTCTCCTCTCCCCAAGCAATGGGAGTCAATGTTTAACCACTGACTCTCTGGGGAAAAAGCCATGGTTTATAGCTTTGCTGATTTGTATAGTTTTCTCATTCTGTATAGTTTCAGTACTTCCACCGTGGCCAATTTCAAGTTACCGATGGGAATTCAACACACTAAATTCCTAAAAATTGGACAATTTATTCTCACAAGCCAGTGTGAGCCAGCTCTAGGACACAACAGCTCCTAAGGCTCAGCTTTCACATCTGGACAATGGAAATCATACCACTTCCACAGGCAAAGGCTGAGATAAGAAAGAATACATAATACAGGGTTATTAGCAGATAGGACATATCTGATGAATATTCATCATTTACTAAGCACCTACTATGCAACAGACACTGTTCCGGGAACTGAAGATTCATCAGAGAAAAAAAAAAGAAGGGTCTGTTTACCTGAAGGTGACATTCTAGATTGAAAGAAAACAAAATGAGATGTATGTGTGGATGCATAGATGGATGGTAGACAGACTGACAGATAGATGATGAGTAAATATCTGTATAGATGGATGGATGGATGGATGGATGGATGAATGGCTAGGTCATCTGTTTGGTAGTGACAATTACTAGGAAAAAAATTAAACAAGATAAAAATAAGGGGAAAAAGAGGAGTGGTCATACTACATTAGATATAGTAGCCAATAAAGACCTTACTGATGAGAAATTTGTGAGAAACCTGAGCCAAATGAAGGCATCAACCATGGTTTTATGTGAAAAAAATGGTCCAGGAAGGGAAGAGCATGTGTTAAACCCTGAGGTGACAAAGGCAGAGCATGCTACAGGGACTGCTGCAAGACAGGTGTGGTAAGAGCCCCTTAGTGAGTATTTACAGATGGGAAGTTCTGGGGAAAGGAAGCTTAGGCAAGGAAATAAAGCTGCTGTGCAGGAGGACCAGTGGGGAAGTAGAAAAAAGTTCCAAACCCTAGCCATGTCTTCAGAGCCTTTGGACATCTGGAGACATGGAGGTGAGGGCTAGTGAAGGACCAGGCTGGACTTCTACTCCCTGGCCTTTCCTATAAACAGCTCAGGGAGAGAACTGCTTACTCTATTGCACCAGCCTCAGTTCTTCATGCTTTCATCATTCAAGTGTTGCTCAAATTACAGAGATCCACCAAAGGCTTCCATGTGCTGGCCCTACTCTTAGCTCTGGAGACACGGCCCCTACCAGGCCATGTAAGGCGATTCAATACATTGAAACATAAAATAAATATAGCAGCCAAGCTATAATGCAATCATATAAAGTGGCACGATTGTGTTCCCCTTCTATGTATATATAAAAACCTTCCTAGACCACAGACCGCTGTCAATTAATATTTGACCCTCCTGTCATCTTTGTACAGCAGTCATTGGTGCCCTAAGTAGCATTTATCTAAACAAATGATGTGATAGCAATGCGGATGACAACAGCTGCAATGAATCCACAGTACCCCGTTATCCTCCCAGCATGGACTTTTTCAAGCCAGCAGGAGAGAAATCTCAAAGACACTCTTTTTAAAACTTGGTTTGTTTGTTTTTTAAAAATGTGCTTCTTAGGACACAAAATCATCTGGGGTCCTTATTAAATAAAATACAAATGCCTGGGCCCCATCCCAGAACCACCCAGTCAGAATAATCAGAAGCCTGAATTTTCAACAAACTCCTAAGGAAGGCTGGTGCTGCATTTCTGATGTCTGAAATCCATGGCTTTAAAACAAAAGTAAAATATACAAGGTTCTTTTCACTCAAGGTCTAATCCCTCCACAAATGGTTCCAAAGAAAACTCTTACGTAAATTTCCTTTACAGAAACTCTGCAGACCCAGTCACAAGCTGACTTTGTTTAGAGAAATCCACTGGGAGTCAGTCTTGTGATGGGAGCATCACATCAACTGATCCATTCATTTGAAACATTTCACATGCAGAAACACGGGATGGCTTCCACTGAAGTGCCTTTCTGTCTGGAGGGCTGAAGGAGAGACTTTTGAAATACTCCCTACCTGTGAAAAGGGCATGGTAGTGGAGGCCCCTCTCCTTGTCTCGATGGGAGCAGACATCAAATAGGTAGGCTTTGATGGGCCCATCAATGAAGTCAGCAGCAAAATCAAAGAGAACCACACCTATCATGGTGACGCTTATGGCCCAAACCAGCTTCCTCCTTGGGTTAAGAATCAAAGCTAAAAGAGAAATAAACAGTAGTCTCCTAAATCTTGCTTTAGAATGATCCACATTTTAAATTTCACCTAAACTTTTTGTCATTAAATCATTTCCCTTTGCTTTCATTTTCTTTTGTTTCTCCAAATTTAAAAAAAATTTGTTTTTTTTTAAATTCTAAAAATTATGAAAATGAATGAGTGCCCAGAGGAGACAAGTCTATAGATAGAAAGTAAATTACAAATTGGCTAGGGCTGGTACATAGCCAGAAATGGGAAATGAGGGCCAATAGATAATGGGTCTCTTTTGGGGGTGATAGAACTATTCTGGAATTAGAGTGCAGTGACGGTTCACAAAACTTGTGAATATACTAAGGAATACTGCGTTATGTGCTTTTAAATGAATTTTTGGATATATAAATTATCTCTTTAAGTAAGAACTTATGCATATTTGTTGTAAGCAATTCTAATGCCTCAGAGAAAGCTGAAGAAATTGCTTCAGCACCCAACCCCACTGATGGTTTTCCTCTGGGAAGGAAGTGACTTCCCTTTATTCACTTCTTCTCATGCAATGAGTATGCAGCTGTACCCCAAATGCAGCGCTCCTCAGTCTCTAACAGTCCCTAGCGATGCTTGCACTATTGCATAGCCATTATGAATGAGGTCATTTAGTACAGGCCTAACCTTCTTCAACCAACTTTCCCTATATACTTGCATTTCAGTTAAAGAAGAGCAGTCTCCCATTTTTTACAGATAAAATATTCCTCCTAAGGATATGCTGCCACTCATTGACACAATCTGTGATGGAAGACACATTGTTGTGTCTCTTCTTTACAATATATTTTTAAATCTAAGAATAGTGTGTAAGATATATTTAAAATTAAAAATTTCTGAGGGGAAGGGGAAAGGAAAGAAGGGAAAGGAAAAATTATGAGAAAAGAAAAAAATGGAAATGAAATCTATGTAAATAGGAAAGGGTGGAGGGGTGAAGGGTGCACAGGTAATGGGGAAAAAAATAAGAACCAAGATGTACAGTTTCAAGCACCCAATGATAAATGTAAATGTATTCTATACCTAAAATGTACCAATAAAATAATTTTTAAAAAATTAAAAATATGGATTATAAAATTAAACAAAAAATAAGCTTACCCCCCCCTTTCTCCTCCAGCCCTTAGAGGTAACTATTTTTACCAGCTGTTGTTAATTCTTCCAGAAATATCCTACATTTATATAGTTGTACTTTCTCTTGAATTAATATACATTATACCTCATTATTCTACTTCATAATCATCTATTCTGCTGGCCTGAGAGTTAACAGTTTAAAAAAATGCCCCATTCTTAAATTTAATGATTCTTTTTTTCAAAGTACTACTACTAAGTGCCTATTAATTGGTAGCTGATTCATGGCTAGAAAAAGGGCTTTACCATCAAATTTATTGTTGTCTAGAATTTGCAATGCAGAAATGTCTCCTTGAGCTGACAAGCTGATGTCCAGTACTCATTAAAAGACTACAGAAAGTCGTGAAAAGAATTAACTCTTGATTAAACACACAAGTGACTGATGGAAATGTTTAAACAAGAGTTTAAACATAAAAATGCTCCATAAAAATGTGGTAGATGATAAGTTGAACAAGGTACTCTATAAGGCATTATGGATTAAAAAACAACTCAACTGATAAATATGTAAAAATATTTAATTTGATAAAATAGATAAAAATTTAATGCTATTTTAAAATTTTCACAACAGTCAGAGGAAATGCAGGCTGATGTTTCTAGAAGTAAGTGTTCCCTGATCACAGATTTTGGTTCTCTCAAAGGTAGAAGTTCATTGCAGTTTAGGAGAGAGCAGCATCATAACCAATTTCAATCAAATGTCAAAGAGCTCCACATTCTCCTCTCACATAATTGCCCCAGGAATCCACTTACCTGATACAACAGCATCTCCATTGAGGTACAAAGCCATGCCCAAGAGCATCATGATGCCCAGCGTGAGGATGTAGGGTCTCCGGCGACCCCACCTGGATTGGCAGTGGTCACTGGCTGAGCCCACCACAGGTTGCAGCAGGAATCCCAGGATGGGACTAAGGAGCCATACCACGCTGTACAGACTCTCGGGCAGGCCCACACTGAGCAGCACTGGGGTCACATAAGCTGCTTCCACCGCATAGCAAAACTCTCGGCCGAACATGGCCAGGCTGTGCATGACCAGTCGGCCCGTGGGTCTTCTGGGTGGCTCCATGGAGCCAAAGAGGGCATCTTCGGTGAGGGACTGATAGGTGTGGGTGCCAGCCTGCCCACCATTGCTGCCCATGTCCACAGAGTGAGAAAATTTCCTGTGCGGTCCTCAGGTCTGTGCTCCAAACAATCTGACAGGAAGCCTGAGGAGCAACCAGCAGACGTGGTCAGGCTGGGGGAGGGGCTCAAATTCTTTCGTGCTTCTAAGATCACAAGTTACAATGAAAGGGAAAGTATGTGTTGGTGCTGGAAAGCATGACAGAGATTAGCCCGTGAACTCTCTGGCTCCTTAGCCTGTGTGCATGTTTTTAAAAAGGCCCATTTCTCTCTCTCTCTCTCTCTCTCTCTCTCTCTCTCTCTCTCATTATTACACATAATCACACATGGCTTTGAGATAATAATGTCTTATTACTTGGGTGAAATAAAAATATGAATGAATCCATATCTTTGTTCTTATTCTTGTTTTTGGTACTAGACATTGAACCCAGGACCTTCACATTGAGCTATATCTCCAACCACATTTCTATTTTTCATTTTGAAATAGGGTCTTACTAATTTGCCCAAGTTAGGCTCCAACTTGAGATTTTCCTCCCTTAGCCTCTCACAGATCTTGGATTACACATGTGCACCACCACATCAAGTTTATAAACTTATTTTTATAGACACAGATGTTTTATCTTTTCCTGACTACAAGTTTTCTACACATAAAACTCAAAAGTCAAATAACTAGACTTAAAAGGATAAGGTCTCATCTTTTCTCTAAATCATTAGCACCCTGATGTTTTTCCTCTTTGCACTTCATGAATTTTATAATTAGATAGTTGTGTGTTTATTCTATATCCTTTGTTAGTAGTCTTTGATCTCCTAAGGACAGAGATTAGAACTATTTTTCACCTTGTGCTTCTAGCTACTTTGAACCACCATCTAGCATGATTCCTGGTACCTTATAGGTTCTTAATAAATATTTGCTAAATTAACTATTAAATGAATAAATATAATCTACATTTTGCAAAGCCAACCCACCTGCCTTGTTTGCTTGGACATTCTGCCTAGTGTTCTTTATCTTATGGGACTACATTTGCCAGGGTCCATTGCTGTCTGGCTTCTGAGAGGTTTGTCTAATGGGAGGCATTGGTAGGAAGATTGGGAGTGGGGGGGTGGAAAGGTGTCAGGGGTTTTCTGCCATTTTCTTTCTCTATCCTGGGATGGTAGATCCACCTTCCACCAGGAAATATTGGCTTCTGATTCCTGCATCCATAAGAGTCACCCTGCCCTTTAGATTTTGCTCCTATATAGATTACCTCAGTATCTCTGCACTTTCATCACTATTGTAAATGTTTTATGTTTTCTTTGTTTTAAAAACACTGTAGAGCAAACAAACTTAATGGACATGTATAGAACATTCCATCAGACAATAGAGTATACATTATTTTCAGCAGTTCATGGAGTGTTCTTCAAAAGAGATCATATTTTAGGATATAAGTCTTAAGTACAGAAAAAGAAGCAATTCTTCCTTGTCATCATATCATAATGGAATAAAACAAAATCAAGAGCAAGAGAAACTATACACACATATGGATAATGATAATTTTACATTTAAACAATCAGGGTGTCATTGAAAAAATCAAAGAGGAAATTGAAAATTTCCAAGAATCAAATGAAAATAGTAACACGGTATAATAATATCTCTGGGATACAGAGAAGATAAAGAGGGAAATTTATGGCTATATAAAAAAATCTATGTCAAAAAAATCAGAGCCAGATTTCAGACGAGATTGGACACATTCAGAGTGGTATAGCCATGGACAAGAGCAATTTCAAATAAATAATCTCTAAATAAATAACTATCACAAAGTCTGAGAAAAACAAGAACAAGCCAAAACCAAACTGAAGAACAACAAAAAAATAATAATAAAGATCAGGGTTGAAATCAATGAAATAAAGATTATGAGAACATTATAAAGCATAAATAAATTGAAGAGTTGTTTCTTTAAAAAGATAAGACTGGGGCCCAGAACTCGGAAGGAAGTGCCCCCACTGCCATCCCAAGCTCCTAGGGCAGAGAAGCTGAGCCGGCCCCAGCATCTGGAAGGAAGTTTCCCTGCTGCCATCCCAAGCTCCTAGGGCAGAGAAGGTGAGCCAGTCCCAGCACCCAGAAGGAAGCTCCCCTGCCACCATCCCAAGCTCCTAGGGCAGAGAAGGTGAGCAAGTCCCAGCACCCAGAAGGAAGCTTCCCGGCTGCCATCCCAAGCTCCTAGGGCAGAGAAGGTGAGCCGCATGGGCGCCAGAAGCACCCTCCCCCCCGGATATGAGAAGACATGTAAACAAGCCTCAAAAACAAACTTCTGGATCACCTACAGCAACCCCAAAGGGAAACAAGATGGAACAATCTGATTCTCAACAACCTGGACTCTCTGAACTGGCAACAAAAGAGAATTTGGGAAACACGAAATCAGAAATAATTACTCAGATAACAGAAAAGATTTTGCTCATGGTGGAAGACATGATTAATAAATCTAGAGAGGACACAGATAAAAAA